GATAACCGGGGGGAGGGGGAGAATACATGACAAGTGAACAACTTACCAACTGAGGGGGAAAAATAAATCTGCGGTTTATAGATATCTCCGCATCTATCTATTTATCATTTATCTATCTATCTATCTATATATCTATCTATCTATCTATTTATCATCTATTTATCTATCTATCTATAAACCTTATTAATCTGTATTTTCGGTTCAATATTTTTTTAATAATTCATGATCTTTTACCGCAAATAGGTAAATAAAAGTCATATAGATATCTGGAAATTTAACTTAGATTTTGTAAAAGACAAATCTTAAAGAAAGAAATTAGAGTTTTTATACAAAAATATTTATTTTTGAAACGTTGATTTCTTAGAATTCGTATAACAAACAATTGAAATTGGCAAAAAAAAAATTTTTAAGAAGATACTTTCAGTTTTTATATTTTATTTTTGTTTTTCTTTGATATTCAATACTTTGATATTAGAAAACAATAAAAATATAAATAACATTATTCTAAATAATTCATAAATTATGTTTGCAACCTTTTAAATTTGAATAAACACCATTTCTTTCTCTCTCCATCTTTCCAGCCCTTTAACTCACGTCAACTATAGAGTTAAATGGTTATTTCCCCATATATGATATGGTTGGTTCATTATTCCAGCATAGAGTGTACATAGATAGATATATAGATAGATAGATAGTTAGTATATATACATAGATAGATAGATAGATAGATATTTCCCCATACATGATATGGTTGGTACATTATTCCAGCATAGAGTATAAGGAGATAGATATATAGATAGATAGTTAGTTAGTATAGATAGATCTTTAGCATACATAGTTAGATATATAGACGTAGCAAAAAGCACGTAAACATAATATTCTAAACATAATATTCTGCAAACTTGCAGTACGTTGTAAATCATAAATGATTAGATATTTTAAACTTAAACATAATGATATTATTCATTGAAACTGCGTTTTAATTCAATACTTAACATAATTAGCTTAAATCTTGCGATATACTTAAATTACAGTATAAAACATGGGCAGAGATATTTTACTGTGTTATATCTAATCTCTTTAAACCTTTAAATATGTACCTTAAACTTTAACTGTGTGATAAATATGTAATATGATGGTCTTAATCATGTGATATCAATTACGCCAATTCCTGTTATTAACCTTGTAACTTAAACTTATCTCTGCTGGGGTACTTGAAAACCAGGATTTTACAGGAAAAAGCAGTCATTCAGGCAGTGTGCCTGAGGACTCAGGCAGTTAGTATTAATGCCCGGTTTTAGTCCTAAAGGGAGGGCTATGGGTATGTAAGAAAAATCAGAAAATTTCAACAGCCTCAGACCAATACTTTTTGAGTTATATAAAAAAAACTACAGGGGGGGTCAAATTGACCCCCCCCCCAGCAGGAATAGGGTTAAGCTATTGCAAAAAGTTAGTTGATTGAGACTCTGCTTTCATTACGGTATTAGAAGTAGTCTGTGCTCTAGTTGAAACATGACAAGCAGAGATGTTTGCTAGTTGATTTAGCATTGAATCTATAGTGAGCTTGAAAATAGAGCATTTGATTCTCGTTTTTTGTTCCACATTTTTTTGTTTATTTATTTTTTGTTTCAAATTATTTATTTTTTGTTTCACATTATTTACCTTTTGTTCCACATTATTTATTTTTTGTTCCAAATAATTTTTTTTGTTTCACATTTTTCTTTTTGTTCCAAATTATCTATTTTTTGTTCCACAT